CATAAACCCTGATGATGAGGTGACAACGACCTTGACTCATACTCGGAAAAAGCCACGGAAATCTTTTCAAGATTTAATTTTACAGAAATGTACTATTTCTACCCCGTGACCCAGTCCTATACTCGTATAGCCTCTGACCATCATCTAATGATTGTAAAGAAGAAGCATCATAACCATCGTCAAATTTTTAAAGAAGGCAAATATTATCCACAAAAAAAAAAATAACGCAGCCAATGGCTTTGATGCCCTAAGGAAACTTTGGTTTGCGCATGGTGATGTGAGCCATAAAAATGTTGAAAATATTTCCGCATTCCTGAATAAACGTCATTTGACAAGAGTGTGTCATAAGATCGTAGAAAAATTGAGGTACGATCTATAGAATAGTTGGTGTCCGATAATTCCTACAGTCGAATAAATGCGGGCATTTGTCCTCAATTCTGTTACTCTAATGATTGGCCATTTTTTGATACATAGTCACTCAATCATCGCGTTTTTCTTCATTCCCGCCAAAAAAATGTGCTTAAACTGTCATAAATGAGAGAAGAATAAAATAAGTAGAATAGCGAATATAACATTCAAGAGGCTTCCTATTGTCGAAGGAATTCTTCGACAATCACCGGTGAATGGTTCGGAAATTCCAGTCATGCTTCGGACGATTCGATCCTAGAGATCGATCAGGCAAGAAAAGTTTTGAAGAAATTACTTGACACTCTGTGAATACAAATCGCCACTCTCTAGAATCTCAACAAGGAAATCACACGTTTCTGTAACTTCATGGAAGAAATAAAACAAGTTTTCGTGCAATTATTCACACGGTTTGTTCACCCACCCGAAGATTCAAAGTGTCATTCAAACTCTGATACGCTAACGATCGTGAAGACTATGCACGAACCATTTACCAAACTCGGTCCGACACCAACTTACTCTTCATTTTTACTTTTTTTTTCGCTGTTGCAGGAATGAGTACTGTTTCGGAGCAGATGATTTCGTTTTTCTCACTCACTTTCACAGACATCCCAGAGTAAGAAGTTGCAGCACGGAGCACAATCAAGACGGCTTAATGCCTTCATCCGATTCGAAAAGAGCTGAATAAGCCATACGGCAACACTGCGATAAAGAATTCTTGACTATAGAAAATGGGGCCGCACGAAAAAAAATAAAAAATAAAAATAAGCGGAGAAAATAAACTTCGCTCTCATTCGCGAGCAAAGAGGCTTTGGCAGCGAAGCAACGATTAACGGGAGTCTCGCAGTTTCTCAGGCGAAACGAGAGGAAAGGGATGGAAGTAAAGCCGAGCATCAAACAGTGATTTCTGCGGGGTCGGGTCTCCATTGTAATGCCCCCCTTTGGCCTCGGGGACGTGAACCCGAATTTACAGCAAATAAGCAGATCCTTTGCTCACGCTGCGACTTGATTGCTGATCCGCTGCACTAAATTCCGGCTTTACTGCACCGCGGACCCCGGGTTTTCACGCACTCGTTTCACCAGCACCAGCAGCAGCTGGTATAGGGCGAATTTATATGTTCAGTTAGAACTCCACTGATGAATGTACTGCTTTGCGCGATAGAAAAATTTATTCTTCGAGGACCAACTGACCTTACGGAGAGGATAATGCGAGAAACAATCTGGTTTAGAGCAGCGAAAAAAAACAGTATATTCGCAGAGAAATTCCAAAGAACCTCCGCGGCTAGAACCAAAGAAAAACAAATTACCATTTAGCGGAAGCTTTCCATGTTCAAATAAAATCCGCTTTGTGCACACGTAACGCTAATTCACGTAGGTCCGGTCTAATCCATAAAATGCAAACAATTTAGGAACAACAAGACTTTTACTTAGGATGAGATGGTCAGAAAGAAATGAACCAATTTAAGCTACGGGCTTTTCCAACAATGCAAAAAATAGCGCCCACATTAAATGTTGCGGAAGAAAGTCCAAAAATACTATGTGGAAGCCATCTATAAAAAACATTACATATTTTCAGCAAATCAGCGCCGCAAATGAACCATCGACGGGATCCTATGTTGAGCTGAAATTCAAAAGAAAAGTTACTCTTTGAAGACCAACTGACCCTCAAAAAGCATTCTGGTTTCAGGTAACAGCAGACCTGACAATTTAAAATATTTGGCCATAAGAATGGAAGATTGTTATGTCAAGTCTACGTGCGTCTTGTGGAAACCAGAGATAAACATTGAAGGATTCTGAAGCTCTACAAAGGTTCCCATTCTTCGCAATACCCCATTGACCTACGCTTTTCTGTACTTCCGGGAGGCCAAGCAGTCACATATAGAAGAAAAAAAAATTTATCTTTCCTGGGACCAACTGACCGTCAGAAGATTATAGGAAAATAGAACGATTCATTTGTACCAAAGGACAACTCTAAAAGTGAAAAAAGGAAACCTGCATGATAAGCTGCCAAATTCGCTCCACAAAAACCAAAAGAAAACAGAAACGTACAATTTAAAAGAAATTAGTGAAGTGTCATTAGACTAATGAGAAGACAAAGAACGCGCCTAATTGTTACTCTGCTAGCTTCCAAAGCAGCATGAGAGAAAACAATCTTAGCAACGACAAGAACCCAAATAATAGGTTTAAAAACATAGGTGGAAAGTTGAACTCGGAAGAAAAATGATGATACTAATGGTCATACAATTTCGTTTGAGAAAAATTGTCCGAAAAGCAGCTTTGTTACAGAATTTACTTCTCTCACTGTACGACTTCATTATTTTTAGGCCACTCAGGAGTTTGACAACTTGGAAAAACATTATTTATTTAAATCATAACTAAAAACCAGAGTCCAGATCGAAGAAGGTTGTTGAAAATAAAAATAAAAAATATCAAGGACTTCGAAAAAATTCAGACTCAGCACATTTTATCCGTCAATCAGATTCGTTTCGTGTCACAAATAAGCCAAACTATATTCAGATCTTTTCTTCCAAATTAATTTTAAAAGAGAAATCGACGCAAAATTGACGGCTAGTTCTGTAACCTGTGTTTTCTTGAAATTTTGAGGCTGTATACATTCAAAAAGAAGAAGCAAAGAAAACAAATTACTTCTGGAAAAAGTAGTTTCAGCCAAGGAAAAATAAAGAAAGCAATGGGTCGCTTTTGTTTTATAATTTAAAATTTTTTGTTTTTTGTCCACGACAAGGACACATATAAGCAACTCATCCGAGGTCAAATGACCTCTTTTAAAAATATGATGACGCGATAGACGATGAGAAATCGACGAAAGAGCAAATCTGACAAGCACATGCGAAAATGCAAAGAAAATTGGTCAAGTTCTCCCATCAGGAAGCCGAAGTAAGCGAAATAAGTTTTCCAACCTTCACTTTTTTTGAATCACAGTAAAAGATTTCCTAGTGGATTTTCAGCATTTGCAAATATTCGCATTTTTACAAGAAGCCCTCTGTCGAGAAAACCTCCAGCAGAATTCGTTTTGGCACATGTTTCTGGTACCTTTCTCGCGAAAGATTGTGCTTGAAGAAACATAGACCTCTGAAGGTGTCAACAAGAAGCCACATCCACGGAGAGAGAAAAAAAAAAACAAACGCAGCGACGCTTGTCAAAACTCATAAACCCTGATGATGAGGTGACAACGACCTTGACTCATACTCGGAAAAAGCCACGGAAATCTTTTCAAGATTTAATTTTACAGAAATGTACTATTTCTACCCCGTGACCCAGTCCTATACTCGTATAGCCTCTGACCATCATCTAATGGTTGTAAAGAAGAAGCATCATAACCATCATCACATTTTTAAATAAGGCAAATATTATCCACAAAAAAAATAACGCAGCCTATGGCTTTGATGCCCTAAGGAAACGTTGGTTTGCGCATGCTGATGTGAGCCATAAAAATGTTGAAAAGATTTCCCCATTCCTGAATAAACGTCATTTGACAAGAGTGTGTCATAAGATCGTAGAAAAATTGAGGTACGATCTATAGAATAGCTGGTGTCCGATAATTCCTACAGTCGAATAAAAGCGGGCATTTGTCCTCAATTCTGTTACTCTGATGATTGGACATTTTTTGATTCGTAGTCACTCAATCATTGCGTTTTTCTTCACTCCCGCCAAAAAAAGCATGAACTGTCATCAATGAGAGAAAAAAAGTAGTATAGCGAATATAACATTCAAGAGGCTTCCTATTGTCGAAGGAATTCTTCGACAATCACCGGTGAATGGTTCGGAAATTCCAGTCATGCTTCGGACGATTCGATCCTAGAGATCGATCAGGCAAGAAAAAATTTATTTTGAAATAGTAAAATAAACATCGCGCTTCTTCAAGATTGGTCAGTATTCGCGATCAGTTTGTCCCCCCCTTTAGCTCCTATATACGAAGGGTACTGTCGTGATTTGTTTGCACTGACTCCTTATATTCGGCGCAATTAATTGAATCCGGCTTCCGCGGACTCGAGAACATGAAGCCACGGATAAGAATGAATTACGCGTTTCGCAACGCGTAAATAAGATTGAACAACTACTCGGGTTGTTGTAGCGCAAAAGCTCAATAAATTCCCCCCTTGGTCCGGAATCACAGCGCATTGGTCTCCAGGGAATATCGACCATAAACATTGCATGCTCAAGCGAATAAATGCTGTCTTAGCGTTTGAATTCAGCTTTTTGAAGAAAAATAAATAAGACGATATGACATATTTCTCAAGCAGGAAAACTTCCGTCGCTGCTGCGATGGTTGTTCATCACGCCAGATACATTTCCGCACATCTACTTTGTGATGCGGCTCGAGCATAACTCATTTCACGCAAGAGAGCTTAATTATAAGTTTTGGATATCGAAGTGCCCTGACAGAATGTTTCCGACTGTCAACACTTTTTTGTTGTTGTTTGCTTTGTGTCTATAATAAATCCTGAAAATATTCCTCCTAAACTTTGAAGTCACGTTTGCTCAATTACAGTACCTTCTAATTTTTTTCCGATTCATGGGAATGATTGAGCTGCTTATGAATGATTTAAAAAAAAAGGAACGATCGTTTTACTTACGTAATGAGGGTGTTGATGCAGACGTAGGATTCCACCCGCTGTGTTGACCTGTTGAACTCAAGGAAACCCCGGGTTCGGAGGTATACAACTTGACTGGATTTCGTTTTCAACCGGTAAATCACGTGGCCTGTTCCATCCTCACTTTTATACAACACTGAAGAAAAACAATTACAAAAATGTCTACATATGTGTCCAAATGTCCCAAATGCATGGATCAACTTAACTAACTGCCTCGAATATTGATTTAATCGCCGAGTCGAGAAGAACATAAGGCACGAATTCCTTCGAGAAGCACGAAAATTATTTGGTTTATGTGCAAAACGAGGGAACCCCGTTTTTAAAAATCATTCTTCCATCTGGGATTTAATTATTTAAAACAAATTTTGACGTGACACTGCAGAAAAGGTGTTCCCTTCTTTAAGCAATTAGTCGCACTCAGACCTTTCTGGAAATTGGAAAATTTTTCCCATTTCGAAGCCCACGCACGGAAAACCAACAGGAGATGAAAAAAAAATCGAATGACTTTTATTTCGGTTCAATCGTGCTGAGAAAACCGTTTGACACATTCGTCGGAGAAAACCAAAAAGATGCTCAAAAGATTACTTCCTTGAAAATAAATCCCTTCGAGACGTGCTGGAAACTAAATGATCCCTATCTAAAGAAAAACGGCATTGCTTATTAAAGTTTTCCGATCATTGATGTAGACAATAAGGTAAAATAAAAAGGGGAATAAATTACTGTACTCACTTCGCAGGTACTCTTGAGCAATTCTTTCGCGGTCGTCTTCGTGAATGAAGGCGAACGCATTGTGTCCTCTCACTTCGGATACAGAGAAGCCCGTTAGGTATGAGATCCTGCGGAAAAAATGAAGGAAAATAAACACGTGATCCTTTCTTTTGATGAAATAATAATGGCTCTGATTGCTGAAGATGAAGTTCCCATGTACAAATATATCTCAAGAACACTTGGATATGGCTGAAAATTAATTAAAAAGGGATATCACAGTTGAAACAAAATATGCTCATACTTCGGTCAAATAACATGCCTCAATGACCCTGAGGCAAGGGCACAAAACCAATAGCCGAACATGAATTACTTCAAGTAAAAGGAATTAAAAAGGGATATCACAAATCAATCAAACCAGACTCACGTTTTTCAAATATGCCTCATTGACACTAAGGCAAGTGTACGGAACCTACAATTTTCAAAGTCACTTATTTCCGAACATGAATTACTTCAAGTAAAATGAATTAAAAAGGGATATCACAATTAAAACAAAGCAGGCTCACATATTGGTCGAATGAACATGCCTAATTGACCCTGAGGCAAGAGCACAAAACCTACAATTTTCAATTTCACTTCGCCAAACATGAATTAATCAGAGTAAAATGAATTAAAAAAGGATCTCAGTTCACATTTAAATCCAACCAAGCTCAAGCTTTGGTCAAACATATATTATAAGCCTAATTAACCTTGAGGCGATAAGTATAAAAATCCTAAAATTTTCAATTTCATTTCGCCGAACATGAGTTAGCTAAAAACACTGTTTGAGAACAGGTAAAAGCCATGTTAAATATCTGGAGCTGTGATTTAATTTGTCAACGTCTTGTCTTTCGCAACTAACCTGGCTTGGATCGAAAACCTTGAGTTTCTCCCATAGTCTCTCACAAATCTCGCATCAACCAGAAACATGCAAAACTTCGGCAAAGAGAAAGAGCTCATTGCACTGGAAAAAGCTAATGTTACTTGTCATGCCCAGTTTAACCTCGCAGTACTGAGGGGATTAAACTACCATGAAATATGCCAAACTCCTCTTGTCGCTGGAATACTTGAGCATCGGGATAGAAACGATGCCAAAATTCAAAGAAATCCGTCTTCCTGTTTCAAGGAAAAATGATCGGGCGAGACTTTCATTCTTTTGTAAGCCTTACTTCTTTGTAGGAAACTGGAAAAAGAAACAAAAACTTGATCTCCTGTAGAGATATATTGAAAGTTGGTTCAAAAATCATGAAAATATCTGCACATTTCTCCATCAAAGACTGAAAAAAAAAAAAACGTTGTAAACTACGTTTACTGGGGAACCAGGGACAGATCACTGTCAAATATTCGGCCAGATGCACACACTCCCATTATTTCATCGCCTCCCTTTTGAGGGAAGAAATTCGAATTTCAAAGGAACAATCAATTATTTTTTTCAGCAAACCATGCTTCTAATCGCTGGAACTTGTGAACACCTCTTTCGGGCGAAGGGAAAGAAAATTTAAAAATTGCGAGAGAACTCTCGGTTCTCAAAGGGTTTAAACTACTGCAGTACAGTTGATTTATTTATATTTATATTCCACAGGTCTTAGAAGTACAGAATTTCGGGAATGCTTCATATATAGAAACGTTTCTAGGCACTCGACACTTAGTTATAGAGAAGGCTTTCGGACAAGAATAACCAACTATATAGATGGCATTTTCTTTCACCAATTAAAGTTCGAAAGTTTTTGGTTTATTTCTGAAGCCGATTGACCGCTATTGATTATGGGAAATTCACCTAAGAAAGTGTAGAAATCAAGATGAATTCTTAACAATAGCAAGACATTTTATAAATTGAATCCTCTTGCAGCATTCGAGTTTCTTGAATTGCAATTATTATACCATATAAATTTCCGCGTTGCATATAAAGTCTTTCACACCCGCATTTTTTCAAAAATTTGATCCAGGGGTCGAAAAGTGCTTAGCTTTAATGCGATGCAAACAATCTGTCATGAAAGACGACGTCTTACGCGTTATTTCACGTTTTACTTACTTTTTATTTTACTTGTTTGGTAAACCTGTGATTATAGCATCCTATATTATTCCTTGCCCCCATTAAGCATGCTTTTAAAAAGCAAAATAGTGCATTGATTCCAAAACTTTCGGGTATCTTTGCATAATTTCATAGATAGCAACAATTTTTGAAGAATCCCTTTGCCGGAAAACGCCTTGATTTTCTTATATACAGTACTGTATTAGTCATGAGCCGGAAATTACAAGCCTCATCGTACACTGAATGAAATCCAAGGTTTCTTTTTAATTTTGAAAATCAAAACCGTGGCGTCTCACAGTACAATTATGTTTTTTTCTGTCCAAGTAATACCTGTATATGTTTTCCTTTTTAATTTAGAAAATTGATGCTATAATCGCACTGACCGATGATCGACGCTGACGATCTTCCCCTCGATGTTGTTTCTCATGACGTACTCGTCCTGCACCGCCTGCACCATACTGAGTTGCAGCAACGTCGTCGGGATCCGACTCGGGGTCACGACACCGACAAAGATCCACGAATAGCCCCTCCGACGAGTTGGTCGAGACGACGTCGACGTTGTCGTCAGTGTCGATATCGACGTCGACGTCGAATTTGTCGCAGCCGGCGAAGTCGAACCATCCCCGTCTTGCTCCGCATCCGATGACGTATCGCCGCTGTTGCCGCCGATACTGCTGCTG